GAGCGCTTTCCAGGTCACTCCGGACCCCAAAGCGCTTTACACTAACAGACATTCACCCATTCACACACTGATGATGGTAAGCTACATTGTAGCCACAGCTGCCCTGGAGCACAATGACAGAGGCAAGGCTCCACCGGTCCCTCTGACCACCATCACTAGGCAAGGTGGGTGAAGTGTCTTGCCCAAGGACACGACGACTGAGATGGCTGGACGGGGGATTGAACCAGTGACCTTCTGGTTCCAGGAGGCCTCCCCTAACCACTCCGCCACAGCCGCCCCAAATGTAATGTTAAAAAATGTAACAATTTGCCATCATTTCCATAAAAGCATTCACACAGCACTATTCACTATGATAAACTCAGCTATAAACAACTTCTTGGATATTTTTAATCTCTGTTGGTCTAAATTGGTTGAAACTGTCTCATTTTGGTTTACATTTTTATTTCTTGGCTCACCTTAGGGCTCTCAAAGTGCAAAGGCTCAGAAAGTGGTTCCACAGCTAAAAACATTTATCACATTCCACGCAGTGTACAAACTTTGCTACTTGTTCCAAAATATTTACTATTTAAATGTTAAAAAAACAGGTTTACCTTTGAGACTTTTCCCGTTAAACTGTCCACAGAATCAAACAGCTCCAAAATCTGTAAAAAGGGGTAAAATGTTTTCTCTGCCATGTTGTTTCATGTTTGATGKCAAACACAATAATCAAAATGTTCCTTCTTTTAAATGCTGCAKGCAACAATTGGACACCAAAGCTTGGAAATTCAATACGACGTGAGGCAGCGGGTTGGTGACTGCGTCATTTTGGACATCTTTTTCCTGAGCGAGTATAAATGGGTTGAAGACGCAGTGGGCCATAAATTATCAAAGTTCCTCCCTCTGCTCTCCCACAGCTCATATAAGTACATAAAAAGCAATAATGATGGCTGGATATGGTGTTTTTTTAATCACTCAATGATCAGTGTCGTGTTGGGTGAAAATAAGACCGTGGAGGAAAAACACTTTTGATTTTTTTTTATGTTAATGGTGGTGATGAAAAAAGACGTGAAAATGCAAAAATCAGCTGCTCCTCTAGCTTTTTTAATAACTGGCTTCAGGAAAAAAAAAAATCAAAATAACCTGCAGAAGGCAGGGCTGATTGGAGTCCAGCTCCTCAGCGCAGCAGGACCACTGTGGTGTCCCTCATGAACAAACACAAGTTCTAACCAATCACACGCTCAAAGTCTGCATCGAAGAGCTCAGACTGGGGGCAATGCACAAGACAGCTGTCACCGGTGGATAGCACCGGGAGAGCAGACGGAAGTTCAGCAAGTTTTTGTCACTCAGCAAGACTTGCGACTCGAAGTATGAACCCGCCTTTATCTGTGGTCCTCAATCCTGGAGGGCCACTATCCTGTAGGCTTTAGGTATATTGGCAAGAGGCGCCATCTTGTGACTTTACAGTGGTTTGCAAAAGTATTCATACCCCTTGAACTTTTCCATATTTTGTCACATTACAACCACAAAC